ACACGGAGCAGCGCGAGAGTAAAGCACGAGGGAGGGGCTAATAATCGGCTCAGTCATTTTTAATGATCGTTGAAAGCCCAGATCGTAATCGAGATTAAAATTCGATTAATTGAGCAGCCCTAGATGTGATGATCTGAGGAGTTTGGAGGCTCAGTTGACATCTTGGGGTGTTTGTGATATGATTGTGTTTAGTTGTTAGGTATACATCAAAGTAGCATCAGTGTGATTTTACAGATAAAGTACAGGTAGTGTAAAAATGCTAACATAACTTATCACTATTTAATCAACATTTCAAAACCAGACAAGATATATTTGCATATTTTACAAATGTTACAAAGTTTTGAACACTTTTAAAATAGTACAGTTACTATTGCTGCTTTTGCTTATAGTTTAATGTTCAGTGAGAGAAATCTAGTCGGTTTTGTGCTTGAACAAGTGCATAAAAGTCAGGTTCACTATCCAATTATTCTCTTCCACTTAACCTTATCAGGATCACCTACTCCAGCTACCATAGGGCAAGAGCCGGGGAACACCCTGGCACGGTGCTAACACAGAGAAACAACCCCACCGCCATGCTGCCCCATGGCTCTGTGTCTTAGGTGGAAATATAAAGGTCAAATTCCATCACTGGGAATGTTTACTAACATATAAAGCTAGCCATCGTCTGGGCATCTCTCTTGGTGTATGGAACGTTCTCCTTTTTAAGAGAAGAATGAAAATCCAGCACTGATACCGACTTAAAGTGCTTTTTTGGACAGCCACCACCACAGCTGTGTCACAGACATCTCAGCTTTCGTCCAAGAACAAAAAGTCCAAATTGTCTGTTTTTAATTGAAGCTTCAGATTTCTCACCGTGTTAAAAATTAAAAAGCATCTACTAGGGTATGAAAAGGAAAGTTTAAAATGGTGTGTGTTTATTTGCACAGTCAAAAGCAATGAGTGGGGGGTGTTCAGTCTGTTGGATGCATTATTATATGAGCTGATGTTTATGACGTATACATGGAGAAACATACGCGAGGGCAGCAGCCAGGCTCCTTTTTGAATATTGCAGCTATGAAGATTTTGTTGATTCCTTCAGCTGCTTATTGTGAACATTGTTAATCAATTTCCTGGTTTCATTGTCTTTTATTTGGACGTACAGAGGTGTACAAAGTCTGTTCTCTTGTCTGTCACTGTTATGTAGAAGGAGATTGTACAACTCTGGCCTGTACGTTGCTGTGAAATAAAGTATTTGTCCTTTCCTGAATGTTTCAGATCATCCAACTAGCTTTAATATACTTTAAAAATAACCCCTGTGAATACAGAATGAGTATTTAATTCATTAAGGTCAGTTTTCATGATTCAGCAATAAGATGTCAAAAACATCTTGATCATCACCGAGACTTTTGGGGAAATTACAAAAGTCACCGAGACAAAATGTCAACTTTTTGGGGGTTTTGGACGAGCTACGTCCAGACGAACAGAATCAACCTTTTGGGATTTACTTACCTGGATGATTCAGCATGCATCAAGACACTTTGATTACGGCTAAGTGTAAACAGAATTGTATGCAGCCCGTGGGTGAACCCTGGGTAATTATCTTGTTTTCTCATGACAAGCGTTTATCCACAAAGCTCAATATTTTGCTTTCAACAGAATTTGTTGGTGGTTTTTGTAATTATGTGATCTTTGCAGATTCCAAATCTTAAAGCAACGTAGCAACAGTCCTAATTTTCCTTCATTTAGACAGCTTCTCGGTTTGCAGACTAACACAATATTTTTCAGCTCCATGCGTCTCAAAGCTGCTTTTATAATTCTATGAAAGTTTTTGTGATCAAGGAATCCCATATGGAAAAGAAATAGTAAAA